CGCGGCCGTCGGCGTAGCCGCCACGGAGCTGGCGACGGTCGCGGCCGGGGACGCGTCGCCAGCCTGAGCCTGCGAGCCCCACGGCACGGGGCGGCGCGCCCGTCCGGCCCTCCTTCGCCCGTCGTCGGGCCCCCTTCGTCCTTCGCCCTCCTCGGCACGTCTTCTCTGCTCCGTGTCCCCCAGTCCTCCTCCGCCTCTTCCTCCACCTCCGCCGCCTCCTCCTCCTCCTCCTCGTTCTCCTTCCCTGTTCCCCTCCTCCTCATCACCACCATCACCACCGCCAACCACCGTCACCATCGCCATCAGCATCAGCGTCACCATCACCACCATCGCCATCACCATCACCATCACTATCATCGTCACCATCACCATCACCATCACCATCACCATCACCATCACCATCACCATCACCATCATCATCATCATCATCATCATCATCATCATCATCATCATCATCATCATCATCAGCATCAGCATCAGCATCAGCATCAGCATCAGCATCATCATCATCATCAGCATCATCATCATCATCATCATCATCATCATCATCATCATCATCATCATCTTCATCTTCATCTTCATCTTCATCTTCATCTTCATCTTCACCATCATCATCAGCAGCAGCAAAAGCAGCAACCTCTCAACCTCAGCATCTGTATCAGCATCATCAGCAGCAGCATACTCATCATGATCATACTCATCATCATCATCATCATCATCACCACCACCATCATCATCATCATCAGCAGCATTATCAGTAGCAGCAGCAACATCAGCATAAGCATAAGCATCAGCATCAGCAGTATCAGCAGCATCATCATCACCCTCATCATCATCACCCTCATCATCATCATCATCATCATCATCATCACCACCGTCATCAGCACCTTCATCACCATGATGATGATCATCATCATCATCACCATCATCACTATCATCGTCATCATCATCATCACCTTCACCATCAGCATCATCAGTATCATCATCGTCATCGTCATCATCGTCAGCATCGTCATCAACCTCCTCCTCCTCATCCTCATCATCATCAGCATCATCATCACCACCATCGCCATCATCATCCTCCTCCTCATCCTCATCCTCCTCCTCATCATCGTCATCCTCATCATCATCATCAGCAGCATCAGCATCAGCGACAGCATCAGCATCAGCATCATCATCATCATCGTCATCATCAGGGTCCTCCTCATCATCATCATCATCATCATCATCAACATCATCATCACCATCCTCATCCCGTTCGTCTCATTTCTCATTTATCCCTCCCTCCCTCCCTCCCTGGCTGTGCTCCTTCCATCCCTGCCCGTGCTGCTGCCGGTTAGCTATCAAACGCTTGGGGCGGGAACATAATTTTGAGCCAGGGGTTCACGTCCTCCTGACCCTCCCCCCTGCTACTCTCTTGCCAAGCCAAGTCCACCACCAGATGAAGCACGGCACCGTACGCCCCTTGTGCGCCAGGGCGGGCGAATCCAGCCCGGGTCGTGCATGCAGGACTGCCAGACAAGTCGCGGGAGGCAGCGCTGGCACGCTACGCACGGGGGATAGCCTCAAAGATCTCCAAAGCGCCAGCAGTACTGAAACGGCCACTGCACAGATCCCTTCTCGTGAAATGCCGGAAGCTCACGAATCGACGGAGCAAGGACAGAGCAAGAACAGATACGAGACCGTGGCAGAACATACTGTTCGACAGCCCGTGCGGGACCGAAACAGATCTGCGAGGATGCCCGAAACCGAGCCACACGTCGCCGTTTTGAGACCATCGGCGAATGCCAGTCGACAGAGCGAGTCTGAAACCTTCCATCGATGGCCACATCTGAAACTTCCAGCAACCACCCCCCCTCCTCCTCCACCTCCTCATCTTCCTCCTCATCCACCTCCTCCTCCTCCTCGTTCTCCTCGTTCTCCTCCTCCTCCTCCTCCTCCTTCTCCTCCTCCTCCTCCTCCTTCTCCTCCTCCTCCCCCTCCTCTTTCTCCCCCTCCTCACCCCCTCCTGCTCCTCCTCTTCGGCCTCCTCCTCCTCCTCCTCATCCTTCTCCTGCTCGCCGTCCTCCCTCCGGGCACTCACCGGTCCCCCAATCTCCTGGAACGAGGATGACGCAGCTCTGCCTTGCAATGCTGCGGACTGGTCGAAGGCGTAGGTCGAAGACGAGGCCTGGTAAGCAGGACGGCAGGGATTGTATTACTGATGCTATGGTTATTCCTCTTACTCTTCTTCGTTCCCCTCCCCTTTCATATCCCCCTCCTTCCTCCATCCCTCCTACCCCTCCTTCTCCCACCCCTCCTTTTACACCTCCTCCTACCCTCCTTCTACCCTTTCTATTCCTCCTTCTCCTACCCTTCCTACCCCTCCTCCTTCGGGGGTGTGGGGGGGGGCCGGGGGTTGTGATCCCCCCGGGGGGAGCACCCCTCTCTGGAAGAAGCTTTCCCCTTCGACGTCTTGCCTCCTGAACGCCTCGAATGTACTTGTACCGCGGCTTGCTCCAAGAGGGCCCTGAAACAGCCCCAGAAGATCACTCCAAGACGGCCCAGGATACCTTCAAGACGGCCTCAGAACCCCCCAAGACGTCCCAAGAGAGCTCCGAGCGAAAATCACTGGTTGTCATGCTGTTGTTTCATGTGTGTCGCGTCCTTGCCTTCTCGGGCTTCGACGCTCCAAGGCGGTCCAGGAAGTCCCCAAAATCTCACCAAGAGGCTGCTGGAAGCGCCCCCAATGGGCCCAAAACGGCCCCAAGACGGCCCAAGAGAGTCCCAATACAGCCCAAGAGGCCCCCCGGACGGCCGAAGAGGGCCCCAAGAGGGCCCCAAGAGGCTCCCGAAAGAGGGAACACCAACCGACATTTCGAGCCTTCCGCCACAAGGGGCCCCCAGGAGGTACCAAGCCCAAGAAACCCCGAAGAGGCCCTCAAGAGGCCCAAAGAGAGCCTCCAGAGCACCCAACGAGAAACCCAATATGGCAAACTCAATACGTGTAAGTTTCTGAACGTGCTTCGTCCTCGTCGTCGTCGTCGCCGCCGTCGTCGTCGCCGTCGTCGTCGTCGCCGTCCGTCGCCGTCGTCGTCGTCGCAGTCCTTCAGGGTCGGTGGAACCAGCCTTCAGGCCTTCGTCATAAGCCATACAAAAATAAACTGCGTCGGCGGTTGGTGCCGCTTCCGCTGCGGCTCCAGCGCCATCCCGGAACCCCCCCCCCACCCCCAAGGAGGGAAGCTGCAGATCGATCCTCGACTCCTCGAGCCTCCTCGGGCCTCGAGCCCCCTCGATCCCCCTCGAGCCCCCCCGAGGAGGACCGAAGAGGATCGACCGCCCACGAGGTCTGTCCCCAGACCAGCGCCCGCTCGCGGTGGGGGAGCCCTGGGCACCACGGGGCGCCCGGCCCTCGTCCGTTCTCCGGCGCTTCCCCTCTCTGAGAACATCCGCCGCCTCCTCTTGCTCCTGCTCCTGCTCCTCCTGCTCCTCCTCCTCCTCTTCCTCCGAATCCTTCGCATACTCCTGAACCTCCTCTTCCTCATGTTCCTCCTCCTCCTCCTCCTCCTCCTCCTCCATCTTGCTTCTCTTCCTCTCCTTCTTTCCTCCGTATTCCTCGCAGTCCTCCTCCTCCTCCTCCCTCCTCCTCCTCCTCCTCCTCATCCTTCCGTCCTCATCACTCCTCCTTCCTCCTCCTCCTCTTTCTTTTTTTTTGTTTTTTTTTTTTTATCCCCTCCATCTTTCTCCCCTCCTCTCCCCTCCTCCACCCCTCCTACTCCTCCTCTTCGGCCTCCTCCTCCTCCTCCTTTTCCTTCTCCTGCTCGCCGACCTCCCTCCGTCCACTCACTGGTCCCCCAATCCACCTCCTCTTCCTCCACGCCACCACCATCATTTCCATCACCATCATAATCACCATCACCATTAGCACCATCATCACCATCACTACCACGATGAGCATCATCGTCGTCGTCATCGTCATCTTCATCGTCATCATCATCAGCAGCATCATCAGCGTCAGCATCATCGTCATCACAACCATCACCATCATCAACACCATCACCATCACCATCAACCATCACCACCATCCATGGCCATCACCATCACCATCATCATCATCGTCGTCGCCGTCATCGTCGTCATCGTCATCTTCGTCATCATCATCATCACCATCACCATCACCACCACCATGACCATTACCATCATCATCCTCACCACAACCACCATCATGATCATCAGCAGCATCATCATAATCCGCCGACCCTGTCGGCGTGTGTGAGAGGCTTCTCCATTCGACTCGTCGTCTCCGTCGTCTCCGTTCTCCCCCTCCCAGGGCTCTCCTCCTGAAGCGCGCTATCCAAAACGAAATTTAACGACGTCGTAGTGGAGTCGAAGGGAAGCCCCTTCCCTTTGATCCCTTCCCCGCAGGGGGGGGGGGGGCCGGGGCAGATACGACGCCCGCCGGGGCGCACTTTCCTCGAGCGGGCACGCACGGGATGCACTTCCTCCTCCTCCTGGTCCTCCTCCTCCTCCTTTTCCTCCTCCTCCTCCTCCTCCTGCTCCTCTCCTCCTTCTCCTCCTCCTCCTCCTCCTCCTCCTCCTCCTCCTCCTCCTCCTCCTCCTCCCGCAGAGGCGCCCCGGGAGCGGCCCCGAGTCAAAATACCACCCC